TAGTTAGTTAGTTAGTTTATTGACCACGTTTACATACATTAGTACATTTGAAGTCATAAATTTAGGTGGTAGATCTACAGTCACATCCATTTAAATAATCGATATATTCATTTACTGTGTAGAAACATTTCTTGAGTAACTCACCTTTAGCAAGCTTAACAAATTGATCAAAGTTCATATTCTTTGTCTGAATGTAATAATTTGTGAATTTATTATACAAATTTATATCCAATTTGTTAAGCTTAGTTGTACGGATTCGGGAATACGGCTGAATTAAATTTTCCGCAAACCTTGTATCATAATTATGATCATTTGAATGTGTTCGAAATTTATTTAAATTTCGACGTATTTCTTTAAGTGTTTCAAGAATGTAGATACAAGGCAGTTGAAGTATGCCCTATTCGAGAAATATAGCTCTGCATGGAGCATCAAATGACACCCCCCGAAGAACCCTCACAGCCGCCTTTTGATAGGCAAACACTATCTGCTTTCACCGAGTTTGCCCAGAGCAGTACACCATATGTTAAATGGGAATGCACACTCGCATAATACACCATCTTCAATACATGGTTATTCAAACATTGTTTTAGATGCCTTAACACAAAAACCTGCGAGGCCAGTTTTGAGCAGAGATAGTCCGTATGGGGTATCCAATTGAGGAAAGTATCTAAAACAATTCCCAGAAGTTTTACTGACTCAGATTTATCAACCCATCTGTCTGAGTTTATTTGTAAACATTGTGTTTTGTTTTCGTTTAACTTTAGCTTGCTAGCAGTGAACCACAGTTTAGCTTTATTCAGACTATCACCGCTCACATTTGATTTACCTCTGTCTATAATTGTGGTGTCATCAGCGAATATAATACACTTACCATTTAGAGTTGCTGGTAAATCATTAATATAATATAAAAATAGTATCGGTCCCAATACCGATCCCTGGGGAACTCCATTTTTAATGGGCAATAGGTCTGATTCTTTACCTTCACAGACAACATATTGTTTCCGATTAGATAAATAGGAGGAAAGCAAAGCAAGCGATCTCCCTCTAATACCGTAGTACTCTAACGTAGACAGCAACACATCAATAATGACGCAATCGAATGCCTTTGTAAGTTTACACATTGTAAGAAATGTGTTTGAACCTCCTTCAAGACCCTAGACTGCATCCTCAATTAGAGCCATTAATGCCCTAACTGTAGATTTTTGTTTCCTAAAACCATATTGAGCATTGTTGAAGATGGTATTGCTTTCACTATTAGAGATGAGCCTCTGTTTAATTTATTATTCCAAATATTTTGCCAATAATTGGAACAATTGCTATGGGTCGATAATTATCAACGTCACTCACATTACCTTTCTTGAAGAGAATGTCCAGGTTCTTTCAACATAGCACTGTTTAATCCATTAAAGTGTCTTTATCGCTCAGCTTATAGTCTCAGGCGCGTTGTAGGCCAGGAAATAGAGAGTTGGACGCGACTTTTTGTTTCGGCAGGCTGAATTTATCACTATAGATGCTAAATATTATGTACGATAACATATTAGTTTCTACAGTCATAAAAATGGGGAGAAGATTGTTTATAGGGTGGTTAATTGTATATTCACGTGTTTCGCTTATAACTTTTTTCCTTTCATTTCCACGAGAAAACAGTAAAGTACTCTCTTTTTTCGTCTTCAAAAGACCTACAAAATTAACCCACGAGCGTAAAAAAATATTGATTAGATCAAAAGTTATAAACAGAAGAAGTTTATTTATGACTTTTGAATTAAACATTTATAAACTGCGTTATTATTACCAGAACATTTTGGCATCGCATCCTCTCATTTCTTATCACTGTCTAATAACTCACACGAAATCTGGAATCGGTAAGTTGAATAGTTTACAAGTTATGGCCTTATAAACAAATTAACTAATTATTA